ACAACACTCATCTCCTCGGCGCTCGAGTGCTGGTAGCGCCCATCCTGCTGGTCAAATGGCAGACATGACCACAGCATTTAATGCATCTCAGCTTCCACTCAATTCAGTTTAAAGTGTACCTCAGCATTACATTTTCTTTAAGTGCATCAATACTGATGAGGAACAATACGATGAATATGATGAATGTAATGAGTAAATGCAATTAATGTAAAATGCTCTTAAGAATAAATAAGCCAATCTGAACACTGCTAAATATTAGGATGCCGTTACATACACAATAATTCTGATAAAGATATAACATTGTAATAATGAATTAAATGGCCAAAACAACTGATATAAAGTCAAACACTTGAAACATTTTTTAAGTGAATGTGTTCCCCAAGTAGTGGGAGACATAACAAGGTACATTAAAAAACTTGTAGATGAAAAAAGTGTAAGTTACGAAAGTAATTAGGCCAGTAGATCTGTGCAAAGGAGTTATCCCAAATAAAACCAATTAATGCCTATAAAAAAGGAGGTTGCACATCACTCCAAGGCTTATAAAAACACAACAGGCAAGAACTGTGCTTTAGTTGCAAAAACAAAAGCTTTTTCAAATCATTTTCTATTAACAGAACTATACAATATCAAAAAAGCTACATTGCCATTAAGCATTACAGCTTACCTTCTGTTTATACATGTCCACCGCCTTCATAAAAAGCTGAATTTTCTTGCCTAGCTCATCGAACGCTCTGGGTCGACCCTCATGCTCTCTGTACCGTTCTTCAATGGGCTCACCAAACTTCTACAAAAGAAAAAGACCACATCCTGCTGTAACACACATTCATGCAGTTTTTCATTGGATGAACTGACCCGTGTGAAAAAGAACTACACTTCAGCGTAGTTTTAAAAAGACTACTTGTTACAGAAATAATATGAAGTTCATAATAATAATATGAGTTCATTTGCAAAAACCGATAAACGCCACTTTAAAAAAAAAGGACCTGATTTCCGTGCATTATTCTCCAAATATAGCGCGATCTGAACCCTAAACACGTTTTGTCAAAAAAGCCGGTTTTGTCCACTTTCAAGGCATC